AGAGAGACGGGGATAGGAAGGTGTTTCGACTCAAGAGTCTCATTCTTCAGAAATGTGCAGTGCAGAGGACAGGGGACGAAAATCAGGATGCGCTGATCACGTATTACGTCCTGCACCGATGAAGAACTTTATGTACTGATCATGTATTACGTCTTGCACCGATGAAGAACTTCATGTTCACTTTTAAACTTAGTCTTAAAAAATTTCCTATGAAACAGGTATTAATACCGAAGATGACATTCAAATCTTTTCACGGCAGATAAACACTTAACGGCACAAACAGCTAACCAACCAGAAGCCGGCCAGAGGACCCCCGCGGAGCCAGACCCTCACCCTGAGACCGGGTCCGAGGCAGGGGCGGGGTCTCGGGACGGTGTGGGAACCCAGGGCGGCGTCCTCTGCGAAGCCTTAGGCTTATTGTCCCTCTTGCCGCTGTCGTCTTGGGTTGCTCCACGGGTGCTGGGGTCTTTCCTGATGCTCCTGGTTCGGCGGCCTACACCGCTGCCACCGCCTGTGGCTCCGAGTGGCAGCCGCTCTCCGGGGTCCCGGCTGCTGCCTGCCGACATTCGGGAGGACAGCGGGCAGTGCGGCCCCTCATTCTTTGCTGTCATCGAATCCTTTTAGCATCCCCGAGATTAGCACACCAGGCTGTACGGATTTAGGTTTTTCTCGGCGAAAGTTCCGGAAACAGTTTCACAGGGCACTGTAATGAAGCAGGGAAGCTCGAATGCCAGCTAGTGTGGACTTCCGGGGAGGGCGAGGCCACAGATGTCATCATTTGCTGTCCCAGCATCCTCGCCCCTCCTGGTGCCGTCGTCAGGGGCCTGGGCCTCCACCGGCTGGGTTTGCACATGCCACTCGTTAACACCGCGGCCTCGGGCTAAACGCCATGCCTCTCGGAGCAGCTGGGGACCAGCGGTTGGAACTGCTGGTTTTGGTAAGTGTGACGATGGCATCGCGGGTGTGGACGCGAAACGTCTTTTTTCCTTCGTCTTCGACATGCACACGGAATGCGATGTTTGGGATTTGCTTTGAAACGTATTCCGGCCCCAGAGGGAGGCATCGCGGTGACGGAAGGGTGATGCGTGAAACAGGCACCGCAAATGGTTGGTGGCCGTTGCAGCTGGCGATGAGTCTGTGGGCCGCGGTCACCGCCCGCTCTGCGGACTTTCACGGAGGCTCGAGATTTTCACAGTAAGAGTAAACAAACTGAAAACCAGTAACGAGACGTTCGTTCCTCATGTCCAAGCAAACATGGCAGGGACACAGGATGCACTCTCACGATTGCGCCCCTGCGGTTCGACCCCGGGGAGATGCCAGCTGTCACCCTCGCCGGCGTCTTCTCCAGACACTGGCGGGAGTTTTCTCCCGGCCCAGGCTGCCTGGCCCGACGCGAGGAGTGCCCTGTCTCGGACCCCACGCCCACGGTTTGTAAGTGACCAGTCTCCTCTTGGGAGTAGCTCGGATACAAGAGTCTCGTCCTAGGGTCTTGCCTTCCGCTGCACCCCTTCTGAGGCT